GAGTGACGGTTGTAATCAAAGTCACTAGTGAAGTATCAAGGAATCTAAGGACGAGTTTCAAGGAAGAAATTCAATATTGTAGTGTTTTTGTGTATTTAGTGTATTGCTTTTTGTTTTTGCAGAATTCATTTTTTAAAGACCATCAGGATTTGGCAAAATCTTAGCCAGTAAAAAAGCAACGAAGGGAAAAAATGCCATGTAAATGCTCATTTCTAGAACAAAAGAGAATGCGATTTTGACAATATCAGAAGGTTAATTAAGGAGTCTGTGAGTGATGATAAAGCTGGCACATTTTCAGTACAGACTGACACAACTCAAGACACAGGCATAGCTAATGTTTGCTCTATAATACTCTGATAAGTCAGAGAATCTAAGCGAGAAGAATTGGTATCTATGGTAAACGTAGGGTCAAGAGCTAGACGTGGCTGAATAGAAAGGACATTTACTTTGCAGTTAGATAAAGAACCCTCTAGCTCAGACTAGCTGCACTGTTGTTATTTGTGTGGCTTGAACCTAGTAATCAGATTCAGAACTGGAATTGGTTCCTCCAGGGCACTTTATAGATGTTCACGATGCATTTTAAGTGTAGTCTAGAAGGTGGCTACCTGGAGGGGCTGAGGGACTTGAGGATTACAGAACTGGAAAGGACTGTTGGGAGTGCTGTATTGTGGCTTGTCACCAACATAGAGACCCCTCCTCATCATGGTATCATCCATTCTCTTTTTGAAGATCCAGGGTGAAAGAAAGGGAGGTCACAGCATCGTGAGATAGCCCATTCCATATGGGACAGCTCTACTGTTTTGGGCCTGTTTAATTGAAAAAAAAAAAAAAAAAAACAACACAGGGAAAGTATATAAAAACATATGTTTAGGAAACATACACCCCCCCCACACACATGCACACACTCACATACACATGCACACACATACACACATACATTTTAAGTGAATAACACACATCTATGTACTGCTGTGGAGAGTCCTGTGGTTTTAGTACCTGATAAAAGTTGGGCTCCCAGAGCAGTCATTAAATGTGTTGGAATGATGCTTTTTGCTTAGCTGTTTTGGCACATTTGGAAATCTGCACTATTACCTGTTGATTAGTAGACAGTAATGTGACTGTATTACATACCCAGTGATTAGTTTCAGAAACAAATAGCATCTTAACAGTCAAGGAATCTTTGAGATGTTCTTGAGGAAACCAAAAAACTTGATTTAATGACCTTAAATTCCAGGGACATCCCACTGGGCTTAGAGCTCTGTGTCAAAAGTTGGTACCCAATATATACAGAAATATAAAGTGGCCGAATGTGTAACATTAAATCAAAACCATTCCCAGTTTGTTGTAGATTTTTTAATGAGAACTGAAAAATAAGAGTCATTATTTTTTTATTCAGCCATAAGGAAACTTTGCAACCTAATAATGTGTAAGGCATTTCTGAGGCCCCAAGTGGAAATGCTGGATCTAGAGAGACCTTTATGAAATAGAACAGGTTGAAACACCTTCCACCAGAAAAGTGTAAGGCATTTGAAAAAAGATTGAGTCAGAAAAGAGAAATGTGTCCCATTTGAGAGATCAGAAAGGTAAACAGGAGTCCATTTCCCGCCCTGCCCGTGCAGTTGCCACAGCTGCGTTCTCCAGCATGTCAGCTTTTATGGAAGCAGTGAGGATACAGTCTGTCTGGCATAAGCTGGTTTGGGTGTTGTCTTATGCTAAGAAGGCCCTTGACCTGATGGAGAGCCTGGACCTGTTCCCGGTCCTTATCAATGACAGACAGTGGGTGGAGCCTAGATTTCCTAATGGAGGGACCCTGAGGGATCCCCTAAGCTTAATTTGTTTTTGACTGTTCCAGTCCTAAAGGAGGTGGGTCCTGGACAGGAGGGAGAACAGCCTCATGGCTCATGGGTTTCTGCCCAGGGAATCTCAAAGCTTCCAGCATTCACACTTTCCCTTACCATAAGACAGCAGTGCTGATTCAACTTGAGTGTGCATCAGAATCACCTGGAGAATTTATTCAACATGGACTGCTGCTTCCCTGTCCCGCCCTCAATTTCTGATTGAGTAAGTCTGAGGTGGTGCTCAAGAATTTGCATTTCCAACAAACTCCCAGGTGATGCTGATGGTGGGGTGGGGCTGTGTCCACACTGTGAGAATCACTTGCCTAAGAGCACCAACAAAGAAATAAAGAGGACATAACTAGATCATTCACTTCCTAGCCAGCAACCAGAGCCCATCTCTGGCTGGGGGAGAATGAAAGTGAGTGTGGGCAGAGAAGAGATCCTCAACCAAGGGCAGCTCTTTTTCCCTGCCTTCGCCTGAGAAGGCAGAGCTGCTCCTCCAGTTTGACGCTCAGAAGCATTAATTGTGATACTTTACTTTGCCTAAGCCGTGATGAAATAATTGAAGGCATCATAGCAAGAAGTTAAGCCCTAGGGAGGCTATTAACAATTTAGCATTTCCAGTTCATGTGGGAATGTCGATTTTACTTACCAAGGAGTATATTATGGATATGTTTAGTGGAAGAGGCATCAGAATCAGCTGGGGTCCCCAATTGGCTTTGCTTTGACCCTCTTCCTGGAGGAAGATAAATGCAAGGCTGAGTCTCACAAAGACAGTGTGCTTTTTTTCTAAAGTAAACAGCTTGTTAGGCTGATAGAAATGGTTTCAGCTGGCTAATTCTGCAGGGGAAGCAGAGGTAGAGGGTGAACACAGCAAAGGTGAGGCTGGGAGGCCCACACCTTCTTTTCCGATTGTGAGACTGAGTCACTTCATTGGCACCTTTCGAAAGCCCCTTATAACACTGCCGGGCTGGACCCTCCCCCAAGACTGTTAAGTACGGCCTAATGGATCAGTAGAAACAGGACCTTCCTGTTGGTCATTGAAGACCATGGCAGGAACAGCAGAGGGGAAGAAAACACAGGAGTGAGGAGACAAATTCTAATCTTCACATTGTGGTGAACCATCAGCGTAGCCATGGGCAAGTCATTTAGTTTCTCAAAGCCTCAGTATCCCCATCTGTAAAATGAAGGGATAGACTTGATGATAGCTAAGGTTTTTTACAATGTAGGAAACAAAAACAAAAGCAAACTCTGATGCCAGATACTCAGATGAGTCCTTACTTGGTCACGTGGTCCTGCTGTCAGCTTGTTTAGGGCTAATGAGTTTGTTGCTAAGTTTGGCAACTGGAGATTCATGCGAGGGGCTAAGCATAGATTAGGTTAGCAGTTCTCCCATTTCTTGCTGGAGGCCTGCTGAAGCACTTCAGGGTCTCTTCCCAGAGTAGGTGGCAGAGAATTTGAAATTAGACACTCCCTATACAAGGATCCAAGTGCCTGTTTCTTTTGTGTTGGGATCACAGAGATACCTGGGTTGCATGGGTTTCCTGAGAGAAGGATGTCTGTTGTGGCAGCAAACTTATTGAACGGCTGAGGCAAAAACAACTGCAAACATGGATTCTCAGATTTCTCATTGAAAACTACCATGACTAAATCTCTAGTAGTTTTGCGCCACACTCAATTCACTTGACATAAACAGTCAAATGTAGACATACTTCTTTAAGTCTGGTCTTCTGGCTTTTGTTGGTTCACTTTGCGGTGTTTATTTTGTTTTGGGTCAGAGAGGATGAGACTATCTGTAGATGGTCTCAGGCTAGGTGGTGCTTCCACCAGGGCCTCCTCTGCAGGCCCGGTGACAGCAGACCTATGCTGTCTGTTTAAGAGCCTTCTCAGCAGCACACCATTGTTACCCACCAGGCTCTTCGCAAAAGCAAATCTTGTCCCAACTGCTCTGGCTGTGCTTGGCAGTGTACTCTAAATAAGGAGAACAGGATGTATTTTACACTTGAGACTTGCTATCCTGGAGTATAACAACAACACTTCTAAGTGCTCTTAATATTAAGCTAATGGAAAACATACTGTTTATTCACCATCAAAGTCTGTTTTTCTTCTCTCCCACCCTCCCCAATCACCACAAACTCCAAACCTCTAGAACACACAGAGTGTCTTCTGCACCATCTCCTCCAGTCTGTCTCAAGATGGACATCTAAGTGGTTAGTTAGCTAGAGGTGGACTTGGAAAAGCTAGCACTCACCACAGAAACCATAAAATCCCCAGGTTGCACAAATTAAATTTTCTTCTCAAAAATCTCTGTGCTAGAAATGCTTCAGTGACTGTGAGATTCATTTTATTAGTTTGAGAAGTCACTTGTCTTCACCAGAGGCAACAAAGTGCAGTAAAACAGTGAAGGTGGGCCAGGGTTCCTGCGTGCTGCAATTATTGGAATGCTGGTTCTTTCCTTGTCATTTAATGGCCAAAGTTATTGGGATCCCAGAAGTCTAATCTTTATCTTCTATTGCTTTGTATTGTGAGAAGCCGTGTCTACCTAGGGTCTCCCGCTGACAGGATTCTAGAGTATGGTCCAGCCCAGTCCAGAAATCCCTAAGGCTCTCCTATCACTGAAGGCCCTATCATAAATATAGCATGGGAGGAGAGGCGCAGAGGAACAGAGAAACCAGAGTGGGACTCTGTCGCATAAAAAAATGGTTCACGAATCTACTCATTTCCTATCAGCATTTTGGTTTTTGCTTGGGTTTGTCTATAAAGTAAAGTTAATGTATGCATGTAAACCAGCCTTGCAGATAAAATTCCCCCATGTTTCCAGGCTACCCATAATATTACCAGTTTTCCCCTTGCTGTCTGCACATCTCTTTACACAAGACAATAATCAACCAACATATAAGCAAATGAACCAAAGACGACCTCTCCCCATTCCTCAAACAAACACCTTCCCTTTTGTCAAAAAGACCAAAATTGAAAACAAAACAGAAACTGTGGGACATAACTCACCACAGTTCTTTTGTTTCAGGCCTTGGGCCTGTTAACTATCTGCAAGGCTGTTGTAATGATGTTAATCTATTTTAATGGAATTGAAATGTGATATCCTGTGGTTTACGATGCATGTTGTTTATAGCTGCAGTGCTTGATTTTGGGTTTCTTTCACAGATAAACTTCTGCACTGGAGGGGCCTCTCCTCCCCTCGTTCTGCACACGGAGCTCTAATCCCCACGCCCGGGATGAGTGCAGAATATGCCCCGCAGGGTATTTGTAAGTTGAGCCTTATTTCTTCTACAAATGTCCATGTGTATAGAGATGAGAGTTTCTGGAAATTGCCCTTACTTTTTAAGTACTGAAGGGAGTTACTTCCAAAATAGATTGGCATATGTATTATTCCACTCACTTGGCACCCACTGCCCCACTCCACTTAGCCCCAGAGGGACTTCTTCCTTCCCCTTTTTCTTTCCTCACTGGAGGCCAGGAGCTGATAGCAGCTCATCCCTGTCTTCTCCCCAGGTCTGGCTCCATGGCTAGTGATTGAATATGCCTGTGCCTTCAGAGCCCATTTATTACTGCACATTCACTCCTGTGGCCTCATTTAGGACTTCAGGTGTAGTCCATGGCACACATCTTTAGCCAAGGCCAGAATCAAAAGGAAACAGTTTAGGGTTATTCCAGAGTTATTCTAATGCATATTCCGTGTGCATTTACATATGTATTTGAACATAGAATATTTTATATATACATGTATATTCATAATTTTGACTTTTCTCCTAATTTTAGAGAAAAATGCACATCATTATAGTTAAAATGTGAAAGTTCTCCTATCACCATCACCACCACCACCACCACCACCACCACCACCACCACCATCATTTATTTGTTCAAGCGAGCTTTTATAGTAGGGACTGTTTTATGAAACTTAAATTTGTTCATTTATACAAATATTTTCTGAAAGATACTGTTTTAGAAAATAATACAGTTTGCTTCTCTGTGTAGGAACACATGGTATGAGTCGTGCATGGCTAAAAGGTTGTGGGGTGGGCAGTGATTCCACTCTAAACACAAAAAAGCAGCTTCAAGAAGAAAAGCAGTGTGACATCTAATTTTTATTAGAAAGTAAATGAAAAATAACCTGCCACGGAAAGAAAAAAAAAAAAAAAGGGAAAGAGTCATGGAAAGAGAATAACAAAGAGCAAGATGCCAGAGTGAAGGCTCTAAGGGGGACTGTTTTTTAGATGGGAGGAAACTACACTTACCCATTTTGCACGTGGTATCTGAAGAGCTGGGCATGCACCCTGAGACCAAATTCAAAGCCAGTTGTTTATTTATGTTACCTCCTAGGTAATCCTAGGTAACAAAGAGTTATTGTGTGAATTTCATAAGCCCTCAGGTCCCGAGGGCTGGGTGGTTCAGGGGTTAAAAGCACCTCATCTACCCATCCCCCACAGCTGGGCCTAAGCCTGGGTTAGGTCACAGATTGCAGAGAGTTTAAGCGGTTGGACTCAAGGTTTCAAGTCCCTGCATGCTGGCTGGGTGGGGACAGCTCTCCTGTTGCTGGGGGCATCTGGGGCCTGCATGGGGCTGTGGGCACAGAGCCACTTTTGGAGGGAAGGGGAAGAAGGGAGGTGGGCAGTTAGAGAAGGGTGGAGTTGAGAGGCGAAGCGCTGCTGGCCAGAGAAACATAGTTCTCTATCTTCAGCCTGGTTTTCCTGAGCGCAGGGAGTTTGATTTGACTGGTAGGAAAGTCGGAGCTTGATAGGGAACCCCTGCCCTTTCCCACCTTCCCACAAAGGGAGGGCACATAGTTTGCTGGTGCCCCTGCCGGCAGGACCAGTTTAGGAGTGACCAGAACAAGGTATGTGGAAATGGGTTGTGGGGGTCCAGAAAGCTCTAGAACAAACCTGATACCCACTCCACTTGGCGGCATTAACCTGCTGCCCCTGGCTTCCAGAGCTCATACCACTTCCTGTGGACACTTGGCTAGGCGCCAGTCACTCCTGCTCTTTAACTAGAGCCTCCTTTTGGCCTGGATTAAGGCCTGGACTGGACCTTCCTCTGGAAGCTGTTCCGGGTGTGTAATGTGGTTAGTCATTACCCTCAGTAATTAATCACCCCTGGTAGCAATGAAAACTCACATTCATGTCGGACCTGATAGTTTACAGAGGGCTTTTATACACATCTGTCATTTGAACTTCTCAACAATTCTTTACAGGTACTATTTTCATGCTCATTTTACAGATAGGAGTTCTAAGGCTCAGAAATCAAATGACTACCCCAGAGTTACAAGCTAGTGAATAATAGAGCCAGGGCTCTGGGCTCAGACCTCCTTGTTCTTCCGAATCTTGAAGCTGAGTTCACATGACTTTTTCACATTGGTGACACACTAGAAATGGGGATCATTCCTTCCCATAAAGTAAAATGAAATAAAATAAAATAAAAGCCAGTAGGTGGGCTAATAGCTGATTTTAACCCTTTTGATGCCTCAAGTTTCTATTCTTAGGGGCCAGGTGTCAGTTTATTGCTCTAAATCAAAACAATCCCCGTGAATGCCCAATGAGGCTCTCAAATTGAGAAGTTGATTTTCATCAGAGTAAATGAAGAATATTATTATATTTTACACATCAATAAATCAATGTAGCCCTAATTTTGCCACGCAGGAAATCAATTCCGGTCTTTCTAAATCATCAAAGATGTTATGAACAAAGTAATTTCACAAATTATGGCAAGTAACACATTTATTGATGACTGCAGTTTAGGAATTTAGAATCTGTGAGCACTGTAATATAATATGGTACACCGGCATGAGCCGAGTGAAATACAGATTATATGGTGAAATTGTAATGCATCATTTGCTATTAGTGGACTGGTAATAATTACCAGTTTCAAAGCAGCTCTCTCCATGTAATCTTTAGTCTCAATCGTAACAGCCCTTCTCATTGACATTATGATTACACTGGCTGCCCTCATGATCTAGAATATCTAGTTGATGGGAATACTAAAATGCGATAGTGAAAACTGTATGTTGTATGCTCATTATAAGATAAAATGCCATTTTCTCTGACCTGATGCATGAGAGAGAGGGGAGGATAACATCACAGTGTTAACATACTGTAGCATGATCGCATAACTGGCTCTGAAAAAAAATTTAGGAAGCTCAGGGCAGCAAAATGAAATAGACTTTTCTCATTTAAGCCTGTTTGAAAGGATACAAATGAGATCCTTGATGTAGTGCTGTATGCCACAGATTTCGGCATTTATCAATGGCTACATTCAAGGTGCATGTGGAACCAGCACCACTAATTATGAATCCAGTCCTGGATTTCAACAGATTTTTTTATAAGGTAAAATATGATTTTAAGGCATTTGGAGTGATGAGCATGTTAAGGACTTGCATTATCAGACAAATCTTTTTGCTTAACCAACTCAGACTGTCAGGCTAATCGGGTATGATAATCACCCAGAGACCTAGGGAGGACAGGGAGAATCCACAGAGGGTCATGTAGTTGGAACCAGATAGTTTTTTTCCAGCCTATTTGGGACCTGAGTCATTGTTCAACAACAACAAAACATTTATGAAAATGCTCTCAATGAAGCTCTTTATCTCCCTTTGAAGAGAGGAGGCAAATCAAAATAGGCAGATAATGTGATACTAATGTCAGCATTTTCTTTCAAAATCTTTCTGCCTTTTTCCCCACCTCCACATTAGACAAATGTTTGAAACCTAATTTTGGTATCTTACCATCTAATCTTGTTAAAGAGATTTACCCAGGAGTGGGATATATTGAGTGGGATTATAAATGCATTGTAAAGTAAATTACAAGGTCAGGGCAGGAGTCCATTATTTAGACAAGTGCTTGAGCAAGCCTGGCTTATTTTGGAATACGAGTGTTTGGGAGCTCCTGAGAAGACCCTGCCGGCTTTTCTTTCTGACTTGCTAAATGGAGGCATCATATAATTGATTAATTCCTCATTCCCACTCTTAACCTCTCTGGTAGATTTTTTTTTTCCCCCTTTTTAAAAAGTTACTGACAGATACTAGCTGTGGCCTTAAGGAACTCTTGCAGCCCTTCTTTTGAAAGAAGGAGAAAAGTTTGTTATTTTTCAGTTATATTTTAAGTCCTTTTTCAGAATCCCTGGGAAGTTTTCTGTTTTTCTCATCCTTGTCCTTTGGCTACCATTACTTCTGCCCTTTTTAAAGTTGCAGTTGACTGGTAAACTGTTGGTTAGTTATTCCATATATATATATATGTGTGTGTGTGTGTGTGTGTGTGTGTGTGTGTGTGTGTGTATGTGTATATATATATATATATATATATACATTTAATTTAGCCATCTCCCCAAATGAAAGATTTCGTGAAGTCAAGCTGGCCCTTCTTTGCCAAAGTGGCATTTACCACTCTTGGGTTCTTTTCAGCAAGAGAAATAATGTGACTTAAGCAGGGCCCCTCTCCAGACGGCTTGGCTACTGGCCAGAGTTGACTAGCTGAACTGTATCTTTCTGTTTCTTTCTCAACTGGAGCTGAGTCTCAGCCGAGGGCGCAGGATGTTGTATAATTTGGTTCACGTTGTTAGCCTCTCAAAATAATGAGGAGGAGGATAGTGTAGCATTTCTCAGCCTGCTGCCTGTCATGGTGCTGGCTGCTTTAACTGTTCCTTAAACTAGGATGCTGTGTCTACTTAAGTCAGCACCAGCCACTCCTCCTAACTTTTCTAGACTTGTATTTGTCTGACTGGGGGACAAATCCTAAAGATTGGATGCAGCCTGTTAAAGCTGAATGGAGTTCTTTGCAGATTTTTGCAACATTCTTTGATATAAGAATGGGCGGCCCCATAGGGTGTTGTGGAACCAAAATTGGGATCCATTGACCTTCCCACAGGCTGGGAGGTGAGAATGTTGCTAGTCTTTTTTCCATGGAAGCATTTTATGAGTACCCTCTCTTTTTTAACAATATCAACAATTAGTGTGCTTCAGGCTAAGACTGAAAGCATCTCTAGGGCCATAGAGCATTGTAGTGAGTTGACTTTCTCCCCTTTTTTTGATGTCTCTCTGAAATGTTGGCCTATTTCGAAAGTTCACCTGCCACCCAGGGGGAAATAGAAAGCTAGGATTTGGGAAGCCAAAAAGTTGCCTTGGGTCACTTTGTCCAGGTTTCTCACTTAGTGAGGAGGAAATAGAGGCACATGGAGATGAGACAGCTTGCCCCAATCTGTGGCTGATGGGACTGGAAAATTTAGAAGATACTTGTTGAGGTGCCTAGAATGTAGGGACCTTCATCCTCAAGCCAGAACTGGCCAGGATTTTTCTGCTTTGGGGACTGGATATAAAATTCTTAGAACCGAGTTTCACGGCAGGGAGACTGGTTGGGCCAATATTTACTGGGTACCCACGCTCAGTTGTGCCAGGCACAATTTAGGCACAGGGGTAGGCCAGTGAGGGCTTAGGCCTTGGTGTTGAGGGGTGGGGGCAGGGAAGGCTGGAGGTGGAACATAAATAAGCAATTGCTGATACCCGCCTCAGTGATTAAACATTGATGTTGGTGTTGTATTATTTTGCAGGTAAAGATGAGCCCAGCAGCTACACATGTACAACTTGCAAACAGCCATTCACCAGTGCATGGTTTCTCTTGCAACACGCACAGAACACTCATGGATTAAGAATCTACTTAGAAAGCGAACACGGAAGTCCCCTGACCCCGCGGGTTGGTATCCCTTCAGGACTAGGTGCAGAATGTCCTTCCCAGCCACCTCTCCATGGGATTCATATTGCAGACAATAACCCCTTTAACCTGCTAAGAATACCAGGATCAGTATCGAGAGAGGCTTCCGGCCTGGCAGAAGGGCGCTTTCCACCCACTCCCCCCCTGTTTAGTCCACCACCGAGACATCACTTGGACCCCCACCGCATAGAGCGCCTGGGGGCGGAAGAGATGGCCCTGGCCACCCATCACCCGAGTGCCTTTGACAGGGTGCTGCGGTTGAATCCAATGGCTATGGAGCCTCCCGCCATGGATTTCTCTAGGAGACTTAGAGAGCTGGCAGGGAACACGTCTAGCCCACCGCTGTCCCCAGGCCGGCCCAGCCCTATGCAAAGGTTACTGCAACCATTCCAGCCAGGTAGCAAGCCGCCCTTCCTGGCGACGCCCCCCCTCCCTCCTCTGCAATCCGCCCCTCCTCCCTCCCAGCCCCCGGTCAAGTCCAAGTCATGCGAGTTCTGCGGCAAGACGTTCAAATTTCAGAGCAACCTGGTGGTGCACCGGCGCAGCCACACGGGTGAGAAGCCCTACAAGTGCAACCTGTGCGACCACGCGTGCACCCAGGCCAGCAAGCTGAAGCGCCACATGAAGACGCACATGCACAAGTCGTCCCCCATGACGGTCAAGTCCGACGACGGTCTCTCCACCGCCAGCTCCCCGGAACCCGGCACCAGCGACCTGGTGGGCAGCGCCAGCAGCGCGCTCAAGTCCGTGGTGGCCAAGTTCAAGAGCGAGAACGACCCCAACCTGATCCCGGAGAACGGGGACGAGGAGGAAGAGGAGGACGACGAGGAAGAGGAAGAAGAGGAGGAAGAGGAGGAGGAGGAGCTGACGGAGAGCGAGAGGGTGGACTACGGCTTCGGGCTGAGCCTGGAGGCGGCGCGCCACCACGAGAACAGCTCGCGGGGCGCGGTGGTGGGCGTGGGCGACGAGAGCCGCGCCCTGCCCGACGTCATGCAGGGCATGGTGCTCAGCTCCATGCAGCACTTCAGCGAGGCCTTCCACCAGGTCCTGGGCGAGAAGCATAAGCGCGGCCACCTGGCCGAGGCCGAGGGCCACAGGGACACTTGCGACGAAGACTCGGTGGCCGGCGAGTCGGACCGCATAGACGATGGCACTGTTAACGGCCGCGGCTGCTCCCCGGGCGAGTCGGCCTCGGGGGGCCTGTCCAAAAAGCTGCTGCTGGGCAGCCCCAGCTCGCTGAGCCCCTTCTCTAAGCGCATCAAGCTCGAGAAGGAGTTCGATCTGCCCCCGGCCGCGATGCCCAACACGGAAAACGTGTACTCGCAGTGGCTCGCCGGCTACGCGGCCTCCAGGCAGCTCAAAGATCCCTTCCTTAGCTTCGGAGACTCCAGACAATCGCCTTTTGCCTCCTCGTCGGAGCACTCCTCGGAGAACGGGAGCTTGCGCTTCTCCACGCCGCCCGGGGAGCTGGACGGAGGGATCTCGGGGCGCAGCGGCACGGGAAGTGGAGGGAGCACGCCCCATATTAGTGGTCCGGGCCCGGGCAGGCCCAGCTCAAAAGAGGGCAGACGCAGCGACACTTGTGAGTACTGTGGGAAAGTCTTCAAGAACTGTAGCAATCTCACTGTCCACAGGAGAAGCCACACGGGCGAAAGGCCTTATAAATGCGAGCTGTGCAACTATGCCTGTGCCCAGAGTAGCAAGCTCACCAGGCACATGAAAACGCATGGCCAGGTGGGGAAGGACGTTTACAAATGTGAAATTTGTAAGATGCCTTTTAGCGTGTACAGTACCCTGGAGAAACACATGAAAAAATGGCACAGTGATCGAGTGTTGAATAATGATATAAAAACTGAATAGAGGTATATTAATACCCCTCCCTCACTCCCACCTGACACCCCCTTTTCACCACTCCCCTTCCCCATCGCCCTCCAGCCCCACTCCCTGTAGGATTTTTTTCTAGTCCCATGTGATTTAAACAAACAAACAAACAAACAAACAGAAGTAACGGAAGCTAAGAATATGAGAGTGCTTGTCACCAGCACACCTGTTTTTTTTCTTTTTCTTTTTCTTTTTTTCTTTTTCCTTTTTTTTTTTTTCCTTTATGTTCTCACCGTTTGAATGCATGATCTGTATGGGGCAATACTATTGCATTTTACGCAAACTTTGAGCCTTTCTCTTGTGCAATAATTTACATGTTGTGTATGTTTTTTTTTAAACTTAGACAGCATGTATGGTATGTTATGGCTATTTTAAATTGTCCCTAATTCGTTGCTGAGCAAACATGTTGCTGTTTCCAGTTCCGTTCTGAGAGAAAAAGAGAGAGAGAGAGAAAAAGACCATGCTGCATACATTCTGTAAAACATATCATGTACAGTTTTATTTTATAACGTGAGGAGGAAAAACAGTCTTTGGATTAACCCTTTATAGACAGAATAGATAGCATTGAAAAAAAACTCTATGAGCTAAATATCTGTCTCTAAAGGGTTAAATGTATCAATTGGAGAGGAAAAAAAGGCCTTGAATAGACAAATTAACAACAACAACAACAACAAAACAAGTTTATTCTATCATTTGGTTTTAAAATATTGAGTGCCTTGGATCTATTAAAACCACATTGATGGTTCTTTCTACTTGCTATAAACTTGTAGCTTAATTCAGCATTGGGTGAGGTAATAAACCTTAGGAACTAGCATATAATTCTATATTGTATTTCTCACAACAATGGCTACCTAAAAATATGACCCATTATGTCCTAGTTAATCATCATTTTTCCTTTAGTTTAATTTTATAAACAAACTGATTATACCAGTATAAAAGCTACTTTGCTCCTGGTGAGAGCTTAAAAGAAATGGGCTGTTTTGCCCAAAGTTGTATTTTTTTTAAACAATGATTAAAATTGAATGTGTAATGTGCAAAAGCCCTGGAACACAATTAAATACATTAGTAAGGAGTTCATTTTGTGAAGATATTTGCTTTAATAATGTCTTTTAAAAAAAATTCTGGCACCAAAAGAAATAGATCCAGATTTACTTGGTTGTCAAGTGGACAATCAAATGAGAAACTTTAAGACCTTGTGTACCATATTGAAAGGAAGAGGCTGACAGTAAGATTTGACAGAGGGGAACAGAAGAAAAAAATACGATTTATTAGCACAACGTGGTACTGTTTGCCATTTAAAACTAGAACAGGTATATAAGCTAATATTGATACAATGATGATTAACTATGAATTCTTAAGACTTGCGTTTAAATGTGACATTCTTAAAGAAAGAAGAGAAAGAATTTTAAGAGTAGCAGTATATATGTCTGTGCTCCCTAAAAGTTGTACTTCATTTCTTTTCCATACACTGTGTGCTATTTGTGTTAACATGGAAGAGGATTCATTGTTTTTATTTTATTTTTTATTTTTTTATTTTTTATTAAGCTAGCATCTGCCCCAGTTGGTGTTCAAATAGCACTTGACTCTGCCTGTGATATCTGTATCTTTTCTCTAATCAGAGATACAGAGGTTGAGTATAAAATAAACCTGCTCAGATAGGACAATTAAGTGCACTGTACAATTTTCCCAGTTTACAGGTCTATACTTAAGGGAAAAGTTGCAAGAATGCTGAAAAAAATTGAACACAATCTCATTGATGAGCATTTTTAAAAAACTAAAAAAAAAAAAAACTTTGCCAGCCATTTACTTGACTATTGAGCTTACTTACTTGGACGCAACATTGCAAGCGCTGTGAATGGAAACAGAATACACTTAACATAGAAATGAATGATTGCTTTCGCTTCTACAGTGCAAGGATTTTTTTGTACAAAACTTTTTTAAATATAAATGTTAAGAAAAAATTTTTTTAAAAAAACACTTCATTATGTTTAGGGGGGAACTGCATTTTAGGGTTCCATTGTCTTGGTGGTGTTACAAGACTTGTTATCCATTTAAAAATGGTAGTGGAAATTCTATGCCTTGGATACACACCGCTCTTCAGGTTGTAAAAAAAAACATACATTGGGGAAAGGTTTAAGATTATATAGTACTTAAATATAGGAAAATGCACACTTCATGTTGATTCCTATGCTAAAATACATTTATGGTCTTTTTTCTGTATTTCTAGAATGGTATTTGAATTAAATGTTCATCTAGTGTTAGGCACTATAGTATTTATATTGAAGCTTGTATTTTTAACTGTTGCTTGTTCTCTTAAAAGGTATCAATGTACCTTTTTTGGTAGTGGAAAAAAAAAAAAAGACAGGCTGCCACAGTATATTTTTTTAATTTGGCAGGATAATATAGTGCAAATTATTTGTATGCTTCAAAAAAAAAAAAAAGAGAGAAACAAAAAAGTGTGACATTACAGATGAGAAGCCATATAATGGCGGTTTGGGGGAGCCTGCTAGAATGTCACATGGATGGCTGTCATAGGGGTTGTACATATCCTTTTTTGTTCCTTTTTCCTGCTGCCATACTGTATGCAGTACTGCAAGCTAATAACGTTGGTTTGTTATGTAGTGTGCTTTTTGTCCCTTTCCTTCTATCACCCTACATTCCAGCATCTTACCTTCATATGCAGAAAAAGAAAGAAAGAAAAAAAAAAAGGAAAAAAAAAAACAAAAAACCAATGTTTTGCAGTTTTTTTCATTGCCAAAAACTAAATGGTGCTTTATATTTAGATTGGAAAGAATTTCATATGCAAAGCATATTAAAGAGAAAGCCCGCTTTAGTCAATACTTTTTTGTAAATGGCAATGCAGAATATTTTGTTATTGGCCTTTTCTATTCCTGTAATGAAAGCTGTTTGTCGTAACTTGAAATTTTATCTTTTACTATGGGAGTCACTATTTATTATTGCTTATGTGCCCTGTTCAAAACAGAGGCACTTAATTTGATCTTTTATTTTTCTTTGTTTTTATTTTTTTTTTTATTTAGATGACCAAAGGTCATTACAACCTGGCTTTTTATTGTATTTGTTTCTGGTCTTTGTTAAGTTCTATTGGAAAAACCACTGTCTGTGTTTTTTTGGCAGTTGTCTGCATTAACCTGTTCATACACCCATTTTGTCCCTTTATTGAAAAAAATAAAAAAAAATTAAAGTACACATTGTAAGCTTCTTGTGTCCTCATTTGACACACTCTGTAAATTACTTTCAAGAAAATAACAGGTTTTAAGAGAAGGCCAGTCAGTCTTTTTCAGGATTATTTCTATGGGCATTCTGATGCGTGTATTATACCCTAAAGGAACATAAAGTACTTACTATATTAAAATAGACATATCTCAACCCATGGAAATAGTTTTAAGGCTTTACAGTTCTAGAATAATTTTCAAGATACGGAAAGTGTTTTCAGTCTGATGTTAAAAACTTACTCCATCTCTTAGCAGAAATCCATTCAAATATAAGTGAAAAAACTTGCTGGTAATAGCATCTTAAACTTTTATTTCCTTTGGATTTTTTGCTGTTCTTGTTGTCTAAAAGTTCTTTTCTATTCTCCCTTCCTTGCCTTATAATGTAAAAATGATTTAAAAAAAATCAGCTGTTTAGTTTCCATGTAAGACTCTTTCCTCGTAACAAAATAACCCCACATTTCAAATCTAAAATTCTGGAAACAAAGGCATCAGGTTACAAAAATAAAAATAAAAAAAGAGGGAGAAAAAGAGAGAGAGAGAAAGAGAGAAAAAAGCAGCCACTAGGGGTTCAGCCAGACAAGCCAGACGTAGTGAAATCCTTGGAATCAGTCACTGATTTCCTGAGATGCATAGTGATTTGCCTTGTGGTTCTGAGATCCCAGGGACCCTAGATGCTACAGATTACTTCAGGTGTTTTGATAGGGTCTTCCTGGCTGACTGCAAATAAGTGCGGCAATACCCTTCAGTTACCTTTTGACCAGCCAGTTAGGTCTATTTAAAAAACCATTCCTTGGAAATCTGTGTTGTCAGTTTTACAAATACTGCATGTTGCAGCATCTATTTGCTTTACTGAAACATACCTCTGTGATATCGTCTCCCTGTACCCAGTGTAGATGAATGAATACGACATTGTTCTTATTTTTGTAAAAAAACCAAAACAAAAGCTGTTCTGTTGTCTTCTTGTGGTAGCATTTTTTGTTGCTCAGTTCTTATGCCCTAGTGCCTGTGAGGTGGCCTTTTCATGTCATGCCTTTTATCTTAGGCAAGAATACTTTCCTCTTTCTAAAGTAGAGAGATAGTCTATGTCTTCTGAGAAGCCAGTTTGTGGGGGCAGGAGAGAGTGGGGCTAGAGGAATCCACTGAGAGAGAATGTTGGAGAACATGACATAGGAGCTGGGGCAGGGTGGGGGTGTGGTACCTTGAGAACTTGATGTTTGTCACTGAACTTAGAAAAGATATACTGTATGTGTTTTGGATTTGGTTTCTCCAAAACTGAGTCCAAAATGCTGCTCAAGACAGATAGAAATAATTCCCCAGTGCCATGCTGGCTTTAGATGTAGTGACTTTGGCTCCACCATATTAAATGTCCATAAAACCTCTGTGTGTCCCTATTACTTTTTTATTAGGAGCTATGAGTGCAGCTGTGTAGGTTTTAAATACAGTATTCATTTTAATTTCTCAGTATATGATGCTCTTAGTGTAATTAGGTTTTGCATCCTGACAGACAGAATTAATGATGGATACTGTATACTTGTCTGTTCAAATTTCTTAAATCAAATGGGGACTGGGGAGGAGTGCAAACATCTGGTGATAAATCACAGATTATGTTTGATTTACATGGTCCCAAAGTTAAATAAATTTATTGGGAGACAGGTTCTTCAGGTTACTTAGTCTCCTGACTTATTGAAGCCTTCTGATAAAATATTGTTTCTGAAGCTGATGAACAACAGAAGCATGAAAACCTAGCCAACATGAATATCACTTATAAATGATATTTCATATCCGGAACTCTAAAATTTAAAATCTTAATATAAAATAACCAAAATTTCCAACAGTAAGATGAATTCGTGATCTATTTTTTAAAATGAGGAACTACTAAGAACTTTAATATCTCTCAAAATCCTCAAGTAAGTTTTTCTAAGGCTTGATGTGCTGATGAAATGTTCTCTACATACCTGAACTCCTGATACTTAAACTGTTCTTTTTAATCTTCATTTGAGAACAACTTAATAAACAGGCATACAGCAAATTCTGTTTCTCACAGATTTTAAACCAGAAGCTCTTCCAGTGCTTATATCCCTCCTTCTTGAACCCATTTGCTATCCTCTCTCTGTTTAGGACCTACAAAAGGGCTGGAACCCACACGTTACAAAGGTTGCTAAGAAGTGAGGTGAACACAGCTCTTCATTTGCACCAGCCATAGCAGGAAGTGTGAAGTAGTTGAGCTTTTCCCGGGGCATTCTGTGGATATAGATCTGTTTATTTGAATATCATTTTTGTATATGCAATAAGTACATCTTGTATATCTTCATAATGCTGGGAGTGAGAATTTGAAAGGAAGCGGCAGGAGGTGGCTTAGATATAATTCCAATTGGAGAAGTAAGGAAATGAGTTGGTTTATTCACAGACACTAACAGTTTGCTGAAAGGTACTGGGATTATTTCGGGCCTTCCTGAAAAGGAATTGAGAAGCCTCAGGCCCCATCCTCTTCTGCTCGTAGCATTTTGCTCTCAGAGACTGAGGGAGGAAATACAGTGTTTTCTCGTTTTAAGCCTCTTTTCCCTTCCGTACACACACGAACACTATTTCTTATGACTGTGTTGTAACTGTGTGTTCCTCATTACGATTCTGTGACTCCATTGTCCCTGGGCCTGGTGTGTTCAGGAATGTACCCATCCCATTCTCTTTTTTCAGACAACTTCCTGTGGAAAAAAAAAAAAAGATTGTGGGGACTTTGCCGGTATGAGGATGGGATTGGCAGAGTTTGCTCAACCTGCTTGGAAAAATGTTTCTTAAAAGACCGCTAACTTGTAAAAGTTATGAGCTGTCTAGCAGATTTTCCTAGGTGTCTCCTAAAGCCCTACATCTCTCCCAATTGAGAATAAATGCACCCGTTTTTAGAGAAATGGACATCAGAACACATAGAACAAATTGGGATGACGTGTATTTATTCTAGGGTTGCTATAACTATGAACTGTGGACATAGTCGGGTCCACACTTTTGCTTGCTGGCATCTCGTTATCCCATTAGCCCGCTGTTTCATTTACTACATATAGCACATGGCCAGTGACTCAGCCTTTAGGGGGATGGGACTATTTCTCTCTCTCTCTCTCTATTTCCCAGCGTCATCTACAGTCATGGGATACCATTAATTCCTCCCTTCCAAGTGGGAAAGGAGGCCAATCCAGTTCACATGGGTCATTGTACTTAAGAACCTAAACTTGGCTGAACACAGCTTGATGGTTGATCCGAATACTGTTTTTCCTTTCTGTAAAGTGGCAAAAACTATTTCAAGGGAGCATGTATATCAGATCGTTCATAGGGATTGTAGAAAAGGTAAATTAGCCGTTTCCCCAAGTATCCTTTAAAGTGGGAGCCCCTAAACCCATAGGGGACTGTGCTTTTAAATAGCTGTGAACGTAGTTCATGCCCATAATATACTTTGCCTATTAGGGCTTTAATTATTGGTAGCAGGTTGGACGAAGGGGTTTGATTGGGGTCTCAGCTAAAGGGGCCTCGACGACAGTGACTTAGCACTGGACTGGGAATGGGATTCCCCAGAGCCCACCTGGACACAGCATGCCCCTCAGCCCAGGTCTCTGCTGCTCTGCTCAGGGGTGGGATGCGTGAGAGCAGCTGAGCTCCAGACCCCGGGCCTCCTGCGGCGCCAAGTCAGGGGAGAGGAGGCCCCAGGCCCCTGCTTCGGGTCGCCATGGCAACGAGGCCTGGAATGCCACAGTGGTAGCCCTCTTCCTCGGCACATCCGGACTCCCAGTTCTGCTGCTTCAAGTCAATGTCCACAGCAAGGGAGGAACCCCGGAGGAAAATAACCACTCCCTTCTTCCCTTCACCATTGCCTTCCCCCTTCCAAAAAAGAAAAGAAAACTGCATGTTTGAAAGAAACTACAGGCAGTTTTTGGTGCAATTTGAGAGCAACTATTTTGGGTTCTGGTTTTCTCTTCAGAGATTTGTTCGCCTCTCGTAAATCATTGGCTGCTTTGACGTTGAACTTGATGACATTTCATGTTTTTGTTGTGCTGCTTTTACATCAGTTTTGATTTTTTGTTTCTTTATAATTTTATTATTATTTTGAGAAGGTGTCCCCTGTCCCTCCTCCCTCTCCCGCTCTCCTCAACCAAAGGACTGTTTCTTACTAAGTTTTGCCAGTCATAAGGGCAGGTGTTTCCTTCCAGGTGTGTCCCGAGTTTATTAGGACTATCATACAATTGGGCAAGGGTGGGGGGATGTGGGTCCTCCTGGGGGCTATGGAAAGGAGGGAGGCATGGGAAGGCCACTCAGAGGTCAGAGATACTTGGGGAGGGGAGACTGAGTTTGAAATCATGCTTAGGATGCCAGTGGCTCGACCTGTGGTTGGTTTAAGTTCTAATTTTTAAAAGCTAGTTAGAGAACAGAAAATCATTGGGCCAAGTCACACCTGTACTTTTTTTTCCCCTCCTCTGTCTCCAACCTCTTTCTAGGTTCTTCACACACCCCCATTCGGCGTAGTACCCAGAGAGCTCAAGATGTGTGGCAGTTTTCGGATGGAAGCTCGAGAGCCCTTAAATTCTGAGAAAATTTGAAGCCCCCAGGGGCGGGGTGGACGCGTCCGCCCGGCCGACGTCAGCGTGGTCTGTCATCCTGCTAGTTTGTGATGTTTTCTGACAGTAGCCTCCAAGAAGCCGTTGTGCGAAGACAGAGTCCTGCAGAGTCCTTCCAGCCTGGGCCTGCAGTGCCATTTTATTTATATTTTTTAATAAAACGTAAAAACAAAAAAACAGACCCACCTTGGAACAGTGAATCAGTCCCATAGAGAGGGCCCGAGGACCATCGCTGTCGTGAGTGATGCCCTGGCCCTTCTGAAACCAGCCAACCTAATTACCCGTATTGTGGAAATGCGCATGAGTCCCCAACCCCTTGTTTCTATACATTCTATGTTGTCTTTTAAAAAGTGTGCTTAACATTGACACAATAAATGTTGGAGCTTTAGGTGGTGTTTGTTTGTTCTTTAATTTGTAATGCTTATAAGACAATGTGGCTGCTTAGGACTTTGTAAGTACCCGTTTCCTACAGATACCCATTGGGTGGGTAGGAGGAACAGATTTGAGGAATGGGCAGGAGACGTAGGAGGGGAAATAGGTTACCGCTTATCAGATGGCATAAATTTTCAAGGAGAATCAAAATGCAAAATGTGGGAACAGATCATAGCAATATCATAATTAATGTAGTAGTAGTCTTGCTGTTTATTAATGCTGAAGCGTGGTTTTCCTAACTGTCTGACTTATAATTTGCATACCATTAAATAATGCATAATATGGCATTCCGAATCCTGTTTTTCAAATATATGCTTTTGGTGGCTACCATGCAGGATTTGAATTTGTCTTTTAATTTAGCTTAGGAAAGATAACGTCACTGGGTGAGCGGTAAATCCTAAAGAAGGTGATAAATGTCAGTAGTTGCTTATTAAATATTCTAATTTTAGGTTCCTAACACTTCAGGAAATATATCTTAATGCAGACAAACAAACAAACATAAAACTTCTTTATTACTTACATCAGGAAATTTGGGGCAGATTTTGTAGGGAGGAGATTATAGGAGGAAAGAGGTTCACATCATAGTAATGCTCCATTTCTTAGAACTTAGTGCCACGAACAAGTTACTTCTACAAACACGTGCTAAAAATTCTTTCTGGCCCAGTTAATTTGCACAGAACTTTTCTCAGTTTGGTATTTTTTTACTGCTTGGAGATCTGGAAGAGAATTAGAAATAATACAGCCTATTAAGATAGGTTTGTCAATAATAGAGCTCAGACACCTGTGTGCTGTAGATTCACATACAGGCAGTGAACTTCAGTGGGGAAAATCTTACCCACTCACCCTCTGGCTAGATTACCTAGCTTAGTGAAAAGACAGCCAAATAATTGGCATCTGGATTCTTTCCTGCTTATTCATAATAAATAACGACTCTACAGTAGTGAACTACCTTCTGCTTTCTACAGTGCTGTCTTGTGCCTCATTTCACCTGCTCTCCAGGACAGATCTCATGACTTCCACTTTACGGAATTGGGGACTGAGGCTTACCACGGTTAAGGGCTTGCCAGAGGCCACATCAGTAAGAGAGAAAGCAGAGAAAACAGGTTTTCTAGTTTCTAGTCCAGAGCTAATTTCACCAAACTCTGTTTAACTGATCAAAGGGGGTATCTTCTCCTGTGTTAGCACATAAACCATAAATGTTCACAGACGCACACTTGTGGCTTACACACACAGATCCAGGATGGCCTTTGATAAAGGCATTGCAGAACTGCTTCTTCCTACCAACAGCTGTGTGCACCGAGAAAGGGAGGTTGCCACCTCCTTGCCATCACCTTTCCCCTGTGGCTTTTCCATGACACATAACCCTGATTGCACAAGTGGCCTGGTTTTGGTGACTTCCTCTCACTTAGGTGAGGATGGGACTTCTAGACAAGAAGTTATTTCATAAAGAAACCCTCTTCCTGCCCCATACTCTGCCTCTGTGTTGCTGAAACATAAGACCATCAGGGATCCTGTGACGGCATCCTCCCTCAATGTGCTAAGTTCCTTGCTGAGGCCTAGAAAGAGTGACACCACTTCCAAAGGGGAGCCAGAATTGAAACAGAACAATCCTGGGTCTTGAGAAAACCTGAGCCTTTGTAACTGCACTTCATCGTCACTACAGTTTCATTTCTGATCTGTGTTTTTGCCCCACTTCTTATTTCTTAGAGTCAATCTGTAAATATGGGGACATCTCTAAAAGTGGGATTTTTAGGGGGGAAAGAGGATAATGGAAGTGGATAAAGGATATCTTTCTATCCTCCCCACTTTGGAGGAGAACCGCCCCCCACCACCAAAATAAACAAAACAAAAAGATAGTCTTTTTCCATGGTTTTTTAAGTTGAAAGACAACAAAAATTGTTTATGGAATTTATTCCAGAAATGGTATTGTGTTAGGGCTAGACTTTTGAAACCCCACACAGGATTGATAATTTGGGAAGACATCTCTCTGCGTGATGAGTCAAGGTCATGGTTACCCATGAATGGCGGAAGCAGGGAAGGGGCTCGCGAATCTGCCTGGGGTCCTCACTCTGCCCTCTCTGCAGAGTGAAACTTCCGATTACAGAGAGATAAATCGCTTGCCGGACATGCACTGAGCATAGACCAGAGGACAGAGTCCCAGCCACTCACACGGTGGAGACCAAATACAGGGCATTGTTTTCACTCTCCCAAGCCTTCTGTGCTCTGTTCAGACCACAGATTACTATCATTATTATTTGAGATGCAGTCTCACTCTGTCACCCTGGCTGGAGTGCAGTGGTTTAATCTCGGCTCACTGTAACCTCTGCCTTCTGGGTTCAAGTGATTCTCCTGCCTCAGCCTCCTGAGTAGCTGGGATTACAGGTATGTGCCACCATGTCCAGTTAATTTTTGTATTTTTAGTAGAGACAGGGTTTCCCCGTGTTGGTCAAACTCCTCACCTTGTGATCCACCTGCCTCGGCCTCCCAAAGTGCTGGGACTACAGGTGTGAGCTACCATGCCTGACCAGATTATTACACCATATAAAAAAGGTCTGTTAGACTCTGGGGTCCATGAGGGGAGAGAAAGATACTCAGAGCCTCTGCAGCACTCAGCATCCAGCCTGTTGAATATCAGCCTGTTTGAGAAATAATTGTTTCAAAAACCAGTGATCACTTAAAGAAAACTCTTAGGCAAGGAGTGTAATCTTGGACTCTGCTGAGGTCTGAGTGGCCCAAAGGTTGGCAGAATATTTCCTGGGCACTTTTGCTTGGAGTTTCCAAGAGCATTCAGATTAGAGCCAAGACCTTCAAGTCATCAGGAATATCTTTCAGGTTTTGTGTGCATTGACATGATTTTTTTTTTTTTGATAGTGAGATTAACATTGATGAAGATGGCTATTAATATTAACGTAGTTTTTTTAAACCTAAGTCAATATTTATTCCTATTTTTAAAAATTCTTATTTTATAAATCAGTATCCTTGGAAGTAGTAGTAGAATTAGAATTGAAGTATTTTGTAGGCTGTTGGTTCTCTTCTTACAGCATAGCTTTGGCTCCTTTTGAGTATAGTATGAGGGAAGCAGATTTGAGGAATTTTGAGTCTGGTGGAAGTTCCAAAACAACCAGTGACACAAACACACCTTCCTTCTTCAAGAGTTCATCTTGGGTTCCTAATCAGCAGAGAAACAATAACATTATATTTCTTTCCTCTGACTGCTCAGGAGAGACAGCACTCTTCAGTTTGCGTTCCCCTGGAATTACATTAAATCACAGAACTTCTCACTTCCAGTAAAATCCAGACACAGTCATTGTCTTTCTTCCTATCTTAGTATAAATTAGGATATCTTATTACTAACCACATTGCCATTCTTTTTGCCTTATATTAAAAAAAAAAATGCTCCCAGGAAGTAGTTAAGGTTTATAGAGTACTTTTATGTACACAATAGAATCAATTTTGCTTGTGATTCCATAACTTAGATAGGAAAAGAATAGACTGAAGTTGAAAGGAATTCTAGTAATCACTCATTTTAGAGATCAGGGCAACAAGGGCCCAAAGATTAAGTGAAGATCACCGTGCGAAAAAAATGTCGTAGCCATTTTTTTGAAACCACACAGTGAGTGGCTGAGTCAGAACTGGAACCCAAGTCTCCCAGGTCCTGTGCAAAGGAATTCAAGTGGCAAAGCTCTCCCTCGTGACCTGCTAAATTCAGAAATAGGAATAGCAGAAAAGCATGCATTTCACAAGGATTTAAGAATGAAATCAAAAGCTTGTTTTGGTCGTGCCAGTACTAGTAGGGAACATGTCAGCCTGCCCCATATGGAATATGGGTTTTTAAAATAGTATCCCCACGACCGAGAATATTTAGGTCACAACCTGAATGGATTCTTCTTTAATTCACGCCTCCACTGGTAGAAATAAACCTAGGGACCAAGAATTGCTGAGAGATGGCTTTTAAAGTTAAAAGGGCTACTCATCAAACCAAATTCATCTCCAATGACTTAAGTAGATCTCACAATCTGTTCCATTCTCTAGACGAGATATAAGAGAAACACTCACTTAATTTGAATTTCGAGGTCACATCACATCCTATTAGAGAATCCAAATAGCCAATTGTATGACCTGTATCTTGTTCCTGGGATATTTAGTTCTGAGTTCAAAGGTGGTGAAATAGCAATGAATTGAAGGGTAACTTAATGGAAATGGTATACAGCTCCGGTTTGTAAGGATTATTCCACTTAATGTGCTATTTATGCCTCATGTTCCTTTTCTGTGCAAGATGAAGCCTTAATCATTTTTCCTTTTGATCAGGGGTTCCTGGCTCTGTTTTGAGATGTATGTATTCTGCCTCACACATTATTAGATCTGCTGCATTCAGCTCTTCTGTGGCCATTTCTTTCTTTCTTTTTTTTTTTTTGAAACGGAGTTTTATTCTTATTGTCCTAGCTGGAATGCAATGGCATGATCTCAGCTCACTGCAACCTGTGCCTCCCAGGTTCAAGCAATTCTTCTGCCTCAGCCTCCTGAATAGCTGGGACTACAGGTATGCATCATCACACCCAGCTAATTTTTGTATTTTTAATAGAGATGGGCTTTCACCATGTTGGTCAGGCTGGTCTTGAACTCCTGCCCTTGTGATCTGCCTCCCTCAGCCTCCCAAAGTGCTGGGATTATGGGTGTGAGCCACCGTGCCTGGCTTCTGTGGCCATTTCTTTTCTTGCCAGTGACTCTGATTCACGTTTACTTCTAGTGGACATGGGTTGACTTCGAATGTCTTGGGGCCCAATAGGGCAGCAGTTGCTGTGTGCAGCAGCTGTTTAGAGCCTGCATAGGCAAAGCCCTTCCTGAAATAGGAGCAAGACAGTGGGAAGCCTCAGAGAGCAACAGCAAATCAAACATCTCTGTTGAGGATGGTCTGAGAGGAAGCAATTTGCCTGATTTTTCCCCCAGTGATAGTTC